TTGCCAGTTTAGGACAATTTATGAATAGATATCCAAACAAAGAGATGGTTCTGTCGATATCCCACATTTTGATGGCAAAGGAGTTCAGGGCCATAAATACGTTAAAAACTGTTTCAAAATGCAAAGGACATTTTCCCATAGCGTAAAATGAGGCTGCTATTTTTGAGGTAAAAAATGTCTCTCCTTGGGTGATTAAAACTCCATGGAGAAAAAGAATGGATGCAAAGAGCGTTTTATTGCTTATTGATGGAAATGACAATTCTTGTAGTTCTCTAAACACTTGCTTTATTTTTTTTATGTAGTGCATTTCTTGCGCATTTTATTTTTAATTAATTTTCTTTTAATAATATAATATAATAAGTTGTTCTATGTAAAAGAAAGGGGAGGGAAATAAAGCGAGTAAAAGACATAGAAATAAAACATAATTATTTTGATCTCATTATGACGAAGAAAAAAAAATAGTTACCTACCACTGTTAAATTGCTATAAAAGTAATCATATTTAGAGAATTTTAGTAATGTGCAATGCAAATAGTATTGTGTCAGACAGTTCATTCAAAACCATCTATAGCATGTAGTTTTGCTGGTGGATGTAACAAATACATACCCTCCAACTGCTACGGAACTTCCGTAGTTTTAGAAATCTTCTTTTCAAACTGTAGCAAAATTAATGTCTTAATATTTAAAAAAAATTAATTTTAGCATAACTTGTCCACTATTACTTATAAAAGTGCAGGCCATATGGCTAGATTCTTAAGTTCTGATAANTAAATTTAATTTTTAAATGATTTTGATCACCACTATGCTTACAAAAATTAAGCTTATATATTAATATGTTACTATCATGGTTGGTAAATTACTATCATCATGGTTGTAGCGTTACTATCATGGTTGGTAAATTAATTTTTTTCAAATACAACGTATTTGTTTGCTTAAAATTGAAGTTTTAATTCCATTTCAATACCACTGGGAAAAATGATAATGGAAGGGATTAAAAGTTGGCAGGTCTGCCAGCATGTAGTTTTGATGGTGGATGTAACAAATAATTCTGACTTAAAAAACACTTTTTGGGGAAAATGGTGGTAAATTTCAGGTTTTGATTATCATGAAATGCTTGTAAAACGCTTAAAAGCACTTACTTATGCATTTCTTGAGGTTCACCAAGATTTGTAGAGTTAGTGTTCCAGACTGATAAATACCTTGGCATACGGAGACGTCATTTGCTTCTTATGTCAAAATAATAATTGACGTGTCTCAGACGTCTTCAACACAGAGAGGCCAACTTGCTCCGAACAGCAAATAAATATTTTAAAGTGGTAGTTTATCAATTGTGATTTTTGGTTTAATAAATTCAATTTAGTAGATTTTTATCTATCACTATTTTTAAATAATTCATCACTATCGTAGTTTCGGTTATAGTCACCCCAGAAACTCAGTATACAATCTATGTATATATTTTAATTTTTCTGTAATTTCACGACGTATAGGATATGGGTCTTGTTATATAAGGTAACTAAGTAGTTATGGCAGGCTGTGCCTTTTAAAAAGCAAGCAAAAATAGTCAAGTGTTTGTAGAATTTAATTAGTAGTTATTTACCGTTTTTTAAAAAATCATTTTGGCATGTCTAGAGCAGTTGGCATCTCTGAGACATCATTCTTTTTCGAGTGGTTGTTTACAGTGCAATCAAAGATGATTTCTATATCAAGAAATTAATAATTGCGCACAGTTTCGAGTTTTAAAATGATATGTAAAGGTTAAGTAGCAGACACCGAAATTTGCAGAATAGTGGTTATTATTATTTTTTGTAGTACTTTAAGAAACTTTACAGAAAACGAAAGGTAAGCGTAGCGAGCGTTACACATGAATATCTGAATAATTTATAAGTTGTGATACGTAAGATGAAACTTAAAATCAAATTTATGAAAGCAAAATGATTCACACCGTAAAGCCTCCACTCGGTTTTTTATAGGTAGTCGATCCGATCAGACCGATACAGTGGTAAACTATATTGCGAAGGAGCCGTTTAATCTAATAAAAATAAGAAAGTGGTAGCAAATATATGTCTAAAAATTTGTTTAATTGATGAATGTGATTGGTTTGTCTTATTCACTTGTCAACCATTACAGATTCGATTCTCAAATATATATGATAAATTTCTATGAATTACTTTCAAAACACATAGCTGCTAACTCTTCATGTTTCCCAGGAAGATTTTATTTTCATATTTAAAGTGCTAGCGAAATTCATGTTATTTCCCTAAACGTTTTGAATTATAATAATTATTTTAAATCAGTTTGACCACTACTACATTTAAATAATTACAACAAACATATAAAAGCAAATTAGTCCTTACGATAGCGATTTTCAACCTGACTAAAATATAAATATATTTTCGAGGAAGATAGTTTTTCGGTAATTGTTTTACTACCACTAGGAAAATCCATTCTCGAAAAGAGTGAATGTTGGCAGGTATGAAAATAGAATTGGGGTTCATGCGCACAACTGGTTCACTTTTTAAATAGTCTGCGCTCCGAGAAATACCGTGTGGCTGCTTTCTGCAGAGATGCCAGCTGCTCCGGACAAGCCAAAATAATGAAGAAAAAAAAACGGTAACTAACTATATAGTAAATTTTGTAATTATTTGACTATTTTCGCTTTCTTTTTAAAAGGTATAGCATACCTGCCAACTCTTCCGGAAGATTTTATTTTCATATTTAAAGTGGTAGCAATACTCAGGTTATTCCGATTAACTTTTTGAATTATAATGATAATTATAGATGAGTCTAACCACCACTACATATAAATAATTACAATAAATGTATGAAAGCATAATAATCCTTGCGCAAGCGAATTTCAANTTGGCGATTTGCGAGAACGCTCCTTTAACGCCAATAGAAATTTTCGCCAACCCTTTGCAATCTACGGTATGTTTTGTCAATTCGCGCTCCCGGACACGCCAAAATAATGGAAAAAAACGGTAACTAACTACATAGTAAATTTTGTAATTATTTTACTATTTTCGCTCTATTTTTAAAAGGTATAGCATGACATATATACTATAAAGTGGTGAATTATATAAGCTTACGAATTATTTAGAAATAGTGGTGGATAAAAATCAACTAAATTGAATTTATTAAGCCAAGAATCACAATTGATAAACTACCACTTTAAAATCTATATTTGCTGTCTGGAGCAAGTTGGCATCTCTGTTTCTGATGTAGGACGTGATGGTAAAGCACAAATTTTACTACCAATAGAAGAAAAAAAATTCTCAGAGGAAAGTAACTTGACATTTATGACAACATCACGTCTAATCATGATTTGATCTGCATATTGCAGCACGCTATTCAGCAGCCAACTGCCCTGATTTCCCTCCAATTTATCTATGACAACAGTACCAGTTGCCCTAGGGCAAATCACTGATTAAGAAGTCTTGTGCCCGCTTACGCGGGTAGGTACCTTACCAACAACAAATCGTCGACAACATCACGTAGTTTCAACATATTTTATTTGTAATAATGAATAATTTTTTTTTTACCTCATTTTTTTTTAAATCTTTTTTTTTTTTTTTTTTACAGTTTCTGCTATAAAAGTGACCGTGAAATCAGTTTTGGTAAATAATTATGGTCTTATTTAGGTCAGAGGAAACAAAACATCTTTCACTTTCTCAAGCTTTCAAATGATTCCGGAAGCACTGTAAGGGCACATTTTGATGACACTGTCCATTTCATAAGATGGCATTGTATTTTTTTTCATCACACTAACAATTTCATTTAAACACTGAGAAAAATACGGATGGAATTCTAAATTATATGCATTGTCTCAGAATCTAAATGCGTTTAGACACGTTTTCCGTTCTTTTCCTTGTCCTTCTTTAGAGATCAGTAGAGTTTAAAGTCAGTTCAAGAGAATAAAATATCCTCGTGAATGAAATTTCAAGAACTTCCTCTATGATTTCTAGGTAAAACGTACCTCATATTTGGAGCAACATCATTATAAAAAAATACCACTCGAAATCAGAATTTCAGACAATAACGAACAGCTTTCTTTTTTTTTCTTTTTTGAATGAAATTTGTCTATTAATTCTACATTTTAATTTTTTACTTTAAGGTAGCAAAATTAAAAATTAATCCAGCAGGAAAGCAAATAATGCGTTATATTTTTTTATTGTTTTTGTTTGTTTTACTTATAAATAATGGTCTGAAAAACTACCCTGTGTCTACATAATAAATTTTTATAATGAAACACCTGTTCTAACACTTTCCGATTTTTTGAAAAAAGAAACGTTCTTTAAAAATGATTCTAGGCACAAGCAGGTTGAAGATGACTAACTAAATTCCTAACACTAACAATAAATTAAAACGATAAATGTTTTGATAAAAAAATATTGTTTAATATATAAGTAAAAAAGAAAACTTATTTAAACCTGATTTGCCAGGTGTGACTTTCAAACTACTATAGTACCACTCCTCGAAACAGGATTCCCAAATATCCAACAAATTTTAATAAGTTAGGATTAAAATGAAATAAACGCCGATATTTTAGTACACTTGAGTCATCATTTTTATAAAAGATATTTTTCTGTAACATAATTCGAAGCTGTAAAATCTCTACACACGCACATTAAGTTAATTCTCTAAACATTTTGTTAATATAAACGTAAGTTTACGACAGATGTTATTAACTTCCAAGACTCGTAATTTTAAATACATGAATATAAACATTACGGACAATAATGTATTAGTATTTGAAGCCTCACAAAGGAATGTATGTTTTAATGTCAATCCTATAATTCAGGTAAAGTGTTTAATGTCAAAAATTTAGTCTATATAGGGAAGCGAATGAGCTGTGAGTATCAAAGTGTTGTGTGGAGACAGGTAAAAATATATTTTAACAATGAGTAGAATAAAATGAAATCACAATTAAAAAATTTTATAACTAAATATATTTTATTAAATTATTAATCTCATAGCGCTAATGGGATATATTATACACATTACCTGTTAGAGTAGCTTTAGTGCCCCTTTGGCAATGAGTAAATTGGCAAAAATCAATGTGGAAAAAACACGGTTTGAAATCGCTCTAGATATACATCGTTTCATCAGTTCTGCAACCTAGAAAATATATATTTTAATTAATATTCTATTACAGTAAAAGGAAAGTAAGAACGAAAAATTATTAAAAAAATATATTGAGGAAATATAATTTTTTAAATAACGTTTTAAGTTGCAAATATAATTTATTACTATTAAAATTCTTTAAATATATTTTTTTTTAATTTGTAGTTATTTTTTTAGTTTTTAAATAGCATACTTCAAAATTTATTACAACTAGTGGGCTGCGCCCCCTGCTCGCTAACGCTCGCCAACCCCCGAAAATTGCTACGCAATCTTATATGGTTTGCTTCGCAAACCAAGCTCGCTTCGCTCGCTACTAACTTAGGTACGCTGCAAATGCAAAAAAATTCTAAGAATTCAAAACAATAATTCAAATCCATATAACAACTTTTTTTTTAAAAAAAAATTACATCTTTTTAGTAAATACTAAGTCATTAAAATAAATTTGAATTCAAATAAATGACATGTAATTCGTTAAACCTATTAGAAACGTGCTATAGTATAAAATCTTAAGATAAAATTTCTAAAACTGATATCTCTTTAAAAAGGCTAAAATTCTGGCTATAATTAAGTCTATTAAAAATTGAAATAAGTGAATTGCAATGGAAAAACCAGCATAAACAAATTAATTCTAGTAAAACAAATAAATTCGTGATATAAATCAAAAATCGTGAAATAAATTCGTTGTATATAAATTCGTGAAAAAAAGCGCTTTCGACAAAATACTAAAATAGAGATCTATCGACAAAGACAACTCACTTCTGCCTAGCTTATGTTCTCTCTGGTTATTTCAGTTTCCGTTTTAAAAAGCGCTATATGTTGAGCCATCTCAGCTAGATTTGGCATGTAACATTATTAGCGGCAATCATTGGTCGATTTTCTAGCGTTGCCATTCGGGGAGTTGTAATGAGGCTTTTTTTTGTCGCCGTGTAAGAGAACTATATACATAGATATTTACAATTACTTGAAGAAAAAAAAAATTTTTTTTCATTTTTTTAAACATTATTTCACGTCTGAACAAGAAAAGAAAATTATTCACTTTAAAAATGATTTAAATAAGTAAGGGCGAAAAATAAATAGCTTACTGATTACAATTTTTAAAAAAATTTGAACTTAATTTTTTTACAGTATCTAAAATTAAAAAAAGAACAAGGAAAATCGTAAAATTATATGTTTAGTGATTGGCAACTAATAACCAATGTATCGAATCTTTATTGTAACTCCTCGGTTTGTGTTTGCTTACTGCTGAGAATCAAGTCGAATGCTAAACCAAATCCAAAAGGTTGTGTTTTCAGTGGACTGAATATTTTTCCAAGTACGGTAAATCATGTATTACTGCGAAAGCATTTTTAGGTTATTAAATATCAACCCAGATGGTCCCTAATTCTAAGCAGATACTGAATAATACAGCAACTCTCTGTCAGCATCTTGATATTAATAGAGGGAATTTTAGACATCTAAGCAACACCCCATAGATGAGAGAAGGCCTTAGCACAGATCAATTTAGAAGTCCGACGTAATGACGTAACTGCGCAGTGGAGATAAAATAAGAAAGATGGTTCTACCTTCTGGCTACTAAGCTGCGCAGTAGGGATACGAAAGACGTTATTACGTTTGGACTACTAAGAGATTAAACTTTTTGTTTATGGAACACAGTTCTGATACCTTTTCTCTTCTTGTAGATACTGATCTGAGCATTGCGTTTTATAGTAAAGAGTTCAACTCTAAAATGCGAGCAGAAATCTCTCTCTGAATGATGATTTTATTATAATGAGATCACGCTTAAAGGAAAATACCACTGTTGCGGGCTTGATTTGAACCTCTGTTGCCGGCAATGTAATACAAAAACAATTAATGTTAGTAATAGGTCAGTCAATCAATTCAGCTGTACATGCTATAAAAGTTTAGCACCATAAATATTTTGACTATAGCTATAAGTTCAAATCTCAGAAATTAAAGTGCGAAATTTAGACCATTAGTTTTCCTTCAATTAGCAGAATAAAGATACCTATTAAAAATAAATAAATAAATTATTGCTAAGTATAAATTGCATTTATCTTATTACCCAATTAGATTATTTGCTTGCATTTCTCTCCTTTTTTTCCTTCCTTCTTTTCTGAAGTGCTTAAATGCTAGATAGAGCTGGAAACTGCTGTTGAATGCATTATTTGGGGCATCGAAGATTTAAGGAGACCAGTTTAAAAACGCAACTCACAAAAAAAATTAATGAATAAAAAATAAATAAAAAAAAGCGAAAAACGCTTTCATTAAAACTGGTGTATCGCAATTAAGTCTATGAAAAGTTTATGAAAAGAGTAATTACAAGAATGAATCCGTCAAACTTGTGCTGGTTAGTAATAATAAAAGTGACAACTAAATGATTTAAAATATTTTAGAGAGGAAAATTATTAGCTCTCTTAAGATTTAAAAGAGCAAATGAGAAGAGAAAAATGAGGTCTTGCGTATAGCTCATTCAAAATATGATTACTTTAAATGAATGAAACGTAAACGAAAGTCAAAAAGTTAAAATATCAAAATCAGTTTCATAGGTAGATGAAACTTATTGGTTTACTAATAATCGCTTTCTAAGCTCCTCTCTGGTTCATAAGACAGTCAATTGGGTTTCAATGTTTTTAAGATCGTCTCAATCAATAGTGTTTATTTACTTTTGCTTTTGTTTCCATTAGGAATCTCTCATTAAATATTACATGTGATCGTTACGGTAAACCCCGTATGCAGTTTGTGTAAATACAATATATTTTTCAAATGGTGTATTATCTATTTACTACATTTTATTGTTCTAATATAGAAAGAATAAAGTTATCTGTAACCTCTATAATAAATGAAGTATTTGCGAGCTTATATCTCAATTGAATATGAAGAAATTAAATCAATTTTTGATGAAGGTGATGTTCACGTGAAGGTGATGTTCACAATGCAAAATGTAACTCAGTAAATATTGTTTTGCAATAAATATTTCTAGAAATGAAATAAAGCATTTTAAATTTAAACTTTTCACACAGTAACAAGATTCAGATTAACTCCAGGGTTTCAGTCTGAGATGATAAATATTATAAGAGTCTAAACTCATACAATAACTCTCAATTGTTTTCCTAATTTTCATTTAATCAATTCTCCTTAAATCAAATAAAATTAGATATCATTCTTATAAAATCTGATATTTTTATAGATTCAGAGTAGATTTCAGTTGGATAAATATCATTAAGAGTTTAAAACAAGTGCCATAAGTCATCAAAGAAAAATCCCCTCATATATAAATTCATATCAATATCAATTGTAGATATCATATCTCATATCAATTGTAGATACACTTATTTTGGCGCTAACGAGTTTCCGATTACTTTAAAATTTTAAACATAACAATTATTTCCTGTTTGTAAGAAATTATTACTTCAAAAGGAGATAACATTTACAGAATACTTCTTGTTTTAACTAATACGTATTTGTTAACTACTTAAAAAATCTTCATAAAAAGATTTACATTATTCTTTTAATAAGATTAATTTAATCGAGAACATCTATCTGTAAACTAAAACAGGTTATGTTTTCTTACAATAAAAGTTAAATAATATTGATCCTTCGAAATATTGTTCCAATAGAACATGCTATCAAAATGCTATCAATATTACTTTTTGCTATTGTTTCATTAATAAAATATTTTATTTCTTTACGAATTTTTTTAAAACATCCTCACTATATTATTACAAAATAATTATGTCTTGATTCAATTTAAAAGCATAGCTAAAGCATCTTTCCTCAAATATTTATTTGGTAATCTCAAATTAGAGTGAAGGCGATGTGCAAGTTACAACGGCAGTTACAGACTAGCAAGTTTGTTGGTTAGTTAGTTCGATTTCTAGTACAACAGTTAAAACGAATTTGGCTGTACCACACTTCACATCTGGTAAAAAGACTGACAAAATGTAAAAATTTAAATAAATCCGTTCTAGTTTAACATATCCAATTATGTATTTCGTGTGAATTAAATGTAACTGTTATATCAAAAAGAAAATTCTGTAAAAATATAGTTATGCGTTTTATTAAACATAAATATGACGTATTTGTACAGTGATCCTACCCATAAAATGTTTTTAACTCTCTACTAAAAGAAATAATAATGAGTTATTTTCACAACAATTTAGTCATCGCATGCTTATAAATTTGTTTACACGAACAAAAAGAGTTTACAGAATAACGCAAGTTTTTTCATACATTATGGTTAAGAAAAATATTCTTGGAAAATTTAATGTCATTTCATTTCATTTCTAGAAGAAATAGAACGAATAACCTATTTTTATTATTTTCTGCAATACTTCTTTTAAAAAATGAAACTTCAAAAAAAAACACCAGCCTAAGAGTTTTTTTTTTTTAATTAATTTACCTATTTTTTTTAATTTTTTATTTATAAGGGATAGTCGGAGGGAAGAAAACGAATATAATTTCAATCTCAAACCACATTTACATATCATCATCACCATTTCACTAATTGCTGATTACAATCATGATGCGCCTTATCCCGTATAAGATCTGCTTTTACTCTGGTCTGATTAAGATTTTGCTTCTTTGTATAAGATCTGCTAACTGAAATCAAAGTACTACCGCACGGAAACATTAGCCAGACGAAGGAAAAGTTTATAGTTTAAAACTAATTAAGGTTAACTAATTGAGGTTGGTTAATATATTGTGTAAAACTACTTAAGGTGTTAGGATTGAGGGAGGGTATGAAAAATTAGAATATTTAAACACAGTTGTGCTGTGCATCTGCTTGATAATCATCAAAGTTTATGTATACAAGAGAATTATAAAAGGTGACCAAGGTGGTTGCTAAAGGCTTCTAGTTACACTTATAATCTTCCAACTCTTGTTGTATATTTTTATTTTCGGAATCAGGCAGTATAATCAAAACATTATAAGATACATAGGTTTGTTTTAGATTCAAATTAAAATTTTTATTCACAACCTGTCCTGATGGCTGAAAAGTCATTTATCAATAATATGAATTATTTAATTCGTCCTCCTAGAAAAGAGTAACTGACCGTAACATCAGGCGCATTACTAAGTACATCTGATTAGCTAAGTCTATTAACAACGTTAATCAAATCAATACTATAAATGAGCTTCAACTTACTTATCTAGAACTTCAGCTTATAAAAAAGGTGCCCATTAACGTCTACTCTGACCGAGTTTCAATGAATGGTTCTGGGACATGAATGAAAAGCCACAATTTTAATTGCTAACAAAATCCTCAAGAAACATAGAACACAGTCCAGACTTTGCTTTTCACTAAATCTGTTTTAGTCACGCTTTGGTCTTTTCACTCCAATGACGGTCTATCGTGGCATCTTAATTGCGCTTGTTTGTCCGCCATTCAGATTCAGTTGGTTGACTTCGATACCATGAGCAATCGGCGCTCTGTTTGTCACAGCCTTGACTTAAATCGACTCTTTCTTTCCTGTGACAAAATCCAATAATCACCACCAAATGTTATCCAAGGCAAGGAACATCACCTTCCTGAGGTTTCGATGTATGACTTAATAGGAGGCATGATGCCTTGACGATTCTCAAGGAAATGGGAAAGTGAATATGAAAGGGAAAAGGGATTTCATGGCCAGGGTCGAATCGGATATCGAATATTTATATATATGTTTTTTATTGTTGTTGTGCGGCATGACATAACTTTCGTCGAAAGAGAAGTGACATTGGGGGTGTTGAAGGGAAAAGTAAATTATAGAAGGCATTGACAGAAAAGGTCGTCTTGCTGCATCGAAGTAAATGTTATAAATTTCGAAAGGATGGTGTTTTGAAGCGTTTAAGGAGATAGAAAATAGATCATGGAAAAATTATGAGTAAATCAAATGTTTTTTAATAACAGTTATTTTAAAAATTACACAACACTTTTAATGTTTTTTTTTTTAAATTTTAATATTGATTAATTATACTCTCATGGTCTCTAACATTTACGATATTAGTGCAAAATTTTTCACAGCAGAACAGAACTAAAGTCAAACATTTTGAAAAGTAATAAAGTCAAGTTCAAATGCGCTTCATGGCATTAGATAAATCAGCCTTTTGTAATAAGGGTAATTTATGCATAAATAAAGTTTGCCTAAATTTCTTTGTTTCAATTTCTCATTCTTTGAAAGCATTCAGAACTCAATTTCCTTTCCGCGTAGTATGTATGTTAAAGTTATATAAACATAACGGTATGTTAAATAATTTTAATTTTACTTTATTGAAACACGAATTAAATTTAAATATATAATTGTCGTTCCCAGAATAATGGTACATTAACACGTTCATGCCGGGGTGACCCACCGTTGTCTCATCGGGCGGCGCACCGGAGAAAAAACTGGTAACAAATAAATTTCATTTTCTAGTTTTTCTCCGGGGATAATAAAAATCCATAACTACCTATTGTTTTTAATGGATGCAATTTTTATATTGAATCGCTTCTTCGCCGTGATAAATTTCCTTACAGTGAATTGTTATTGTTGAGAATAGATTAACTCCTCTCGAATATTATCTAATATTGAAGTAGTTCTTCTACCATTATTTTCTCTTTTCCGTCCCGCTTTCAGGCGCTGCACCCGGCATGAACGTGTTAATTGACCGGAAGAGTTCGCATATTTGCTAATGTGTGTCGCAATTTACACGTTTATTTTAAAATTCCGATGTTTTTTAATGCAATATTATTGCAACAAGAAAATTAGAAAAGCGGAGGAAAACTCGAATTTTTAAACTGCTCAACTATTCGTTATAAAATATTTTAGAAAGAGAGAGTTTCCTATTTAAAATTCATACGAAAAATTTAAGAAATCGAAATAATATCTGAAGTATAATTCCAAATAAATATAGAATCTTAAATTTTGTTCTTCATGATGTTTAGTTTTAATTTTGTTTCAACCTTATAAATTTTCTTTTTTAAAACAATTCGATTTTATATTTCTCATTAAAGTATGTATGAATTTTTTTTTCTTTTAATCTTTTACTTAGTAAGCAATACAGATTTTGTTTCACTTTTTTTTTTCGCTTAGAATCTATATTTCTTTCCCCCAAAATTTATATATGGTTATGTAAACATATTGTTTTTAGTAAATCAGTTATTGATAAAAGGGAAAAAAATTTTGAAAAAGCATTTACTTTTTTATTTTTGAATAATTTCCAATAATTAAAAGTTTTTAATTTTCTGGAAATATATTACTTAGTTTTCAGATAAAAATGTAGAATACTAATGTTTACATGAAAAATATCACATTTAATGCCAACATGACTCAACATGTGTGCAGCTCTTCGTTAGTCAACCTACTGTGGCCCTTTACTAAAAAAGGTTGCGCACCCCTATCTAGTTGAAATACAATAATAGTAATTTGCTAAACGAAGACAAAGCTACTGTCAATTTAAGCACAGAGAATTTTCATTTCGTTATTCAGTAATAACAAAAAGAAATGAAATAAATATATTTTACTAATTAAAAATATAAATAAAAATACATTATTGTAAATTAATAAGAAATACATTTGGCTATTTATTAAAGTAACCTTGATCAAATCAGCGAATAAATCAAACTATGTCGCAAAAAATCTAAGTATGCTTTACACAAAAAACAACAACAAGATTAAAATTTGCTATAAAAGCCTAGAACTCTCAAACATCGGATGAAGATTAATAAATAAACAATGGTTTCTCATAAAATATTCCAAATGATAGTTCTTCAATAGATGATTATGTAAATAAATGCTTCCAGCAATGAAAGCAAATCGGTCTATGTAGATCAAAGTCAAACAATAAAAATAAGAGGAAAGGAAAGAAAAAAACGTTTAATACGGTTTTAAACAATGCATAGTGATTTTAAAAAAAAAAAAGAAAAGAAAAACAACTCAGTTAACATGTATTGATGTTGCATATTTCGGTTAGTGGAGCCATTGCTCAGCAAAAAAGAAGAGAATATCAAAAGGTCAACTGCCAAAAACTTATGTAATGGCGTAACAATGAAAATTGGTGTCATTGTCCAGAAAGTGAAAGTGAGCCAGTTAATTCATCTCGCAACCAGCAAACTTATCTGGGCCGTAATGGAACCCGTTTCAAGCGGAAGTTGACGGATATTCATATCACGCACCTGCCTTTCATGTGTCCACCCTGCAATCAATCGGAATTTCTGAAAGTCCACCTCGATTTTGTTCGCAAGAGTACCCTTTGGCAATTTGTGGGACCGCGATATTTGTTACATAATAAAAATTGCGAGCGAACAGAGAAGAGGGGAGCAGTCAATTATATGGAAGAAAATTATAGTTAACTGCTTAATTATAATTAACTGCTGCTAGAAAATTATAGAGAACTGCTTAATTCTTGGTTTGGCAGGAAAAAAAACCACACTTTTTACAAAGTATAGTTTGCAAAATAATTCTCTTCGCAGGAAGAAAGGATAATACTATCCACTTAGTTAAAGCACCACTGTGTCCTAGACTTTGATCATAATGACATATCTCACATCAGTATACTAACACGCTTATTTCCGCTTTCTCCATAGGCAGGGATGCAAACTTCTTAGCTGCCAACTTGTACGGTTTTTGAGAAGGATTTTAGAGAGTGGTAATCTTATAATATAGTATTAAAATTTTTCTAAAAATTAAGCCATCTCACTAATACGCCTAATATAT